GGTTTCCGTGAAACACAGAGCAGCAGAGTTTGAAAAATCCTTATTTGTCCGGGAGAGCAGAAGGAGCTCATCCGTTTTGTTGGGTAGAGAGTGGAGGTTCGCCGGATGGATGCAAATGCGGAGCACGCCACGGAGGCAGCCATCAGCGTCGGCACCATCGCGAACTGACAGCATAAATTAAAAAGTACCACACTGAGCAACCTGTACAAAAGCTCTTCCAAAAGTTATCTATTGTATGCAACATCAGTAGGCACCTAAAATGACTGATAATAGAGTGGTAGAACTTTTTAATGTAGTGGCCCGCAGGATTAAACGGGTTAATCTCAGTTTTAAAATTCCATGACTTGCATAACATGCTTTGCTTTCAACTTTCTACATTTTAAGTGTACAGTAGTCTCTCTGTCCATTTGGTTTAATAATGGTAATATTAAAATGATGATGAAACAGTTCCTTTTCTGCAAATCTTTGTCAATTTACGTCAGAAGCTACATGCATATCCTTTGAAGTCATGGGATTCAGCCACTCTGACATATATTCTGTGTTTGACGTGAGCTCGGGTGATGTGAGTACACTGCCGTCTGCGCTACTATTGGTGTCATGATGCAAACTGCGGCATGTGCCATTTGACAGAGGAACTCTGTGGGTAAATGTCACAGGCTGTTGCCATCTTCGAGTGTCGCACCATGAGAGAAACATAGAAGAAAACCACAACTCTTGTATGCATTCTGATATTTCCAGAATGCATTGCGTTTTATCATGTGCCTTCGTACAATAATTCTGAAGTGCTATCAGTCAGTTTGTCTTGTACTTTTGAGGGTTTACAGTGTTTAATCACTGCAGTGTATCTTAACCTTTGCTGAGCTGCAGCTTGTTAGCGAGATGCTGTGTGAGCCAGCGAGTGCGTGTATATGCTTGTGGTGTAGCCTTTTATTAACACTGTCATACAAGCGGATATACTTCAGCTTGAACATCAGTAGCGGTATGTGGTTCTTCCTAGAAGTCAAGCAGCATACCCTCTTTTTTTTTGTACGTTTAGATAAGACAACAGCTTAGGGTTTGTTTCATTGCAGTTGACAAGCTCAGCTGGGCCAGAATGTTTGGATTGAAGATGATAGAGTCAGGTTGGGCTTGCAGACTTGTCTTCTGAAATGGTTGTTCTTGTTTGACTCAATCAGAACGGGCTTTTAGAAGTCTTTAGAGTTTAATATTGAAGAAGGCATTTAGATGAGCCAATATAAACTTTATACAGTCCTTATCATAGTATTTGTTTTATACTAGTAAACACATTTGAGTCAGAGTCAACTGGTTTGAGTCACCATGTGTCTGATCTTTGAATTCTACAATTTTATAAATAAAAAAACACTTTCGTATTGAAGTGATGTACACCAGAGGAATCTATGATGTGCTTTTGCTGTGGTCACACTGCAACAAAGAGGCTAAAATGTTTCATCCTTTTTATTTCACCTTCAACTTCCTCTCCATTTCCACTAAACCAGGAAGACTTAAATGAAAAAGAGTCAACACAGCACTTGCGGTCCCCCCACTAAAAATAGTCTGTTATACATATGAAAAATGTGAACGTATTTCGCACCGCAACCATTATAACATGAATGAGTCATTGGCTTTTACAATTAGAATGATTTACATACTAAATCGGAATGATTTACATTCAATTCAAGCTGACAATGTCGTCTAGAATTGATTCACTGTAGTGTCAGTTGTTGGGCATTTTTACCACAAACTCTTTGACCGTAGCTTAAAGACCCCAAGATGTTATACTGAAAGAAGATTTTAATTCAAGATTAGCTTTAATAAGTTTATATTGGACTATAGACTATAAAAAAATCCTGTTAAATTTACAGTAAAAAATGATGCTGTGGTTGCACTATAAAAAATCTGGTGACAGTGTTTCAGTTATTACGGGATGGCATATTGGTGCCTGTATATTATACCAAACCTGCTTTTTATCTTAAAATGTACTGACAACCACTATGATAATGCAGGCTGTAAAATTGACCATATTAATGTAACGTGCAGCCATTTGTAATTTGAATATGCAAGGATTCCGGTGTCATCTAATTCCAGTTCTTGTAGCTGTACAAAAACAGTCTGTTATGCTGCATGATATTGCAAACTGGTATTTGTTATCATATTTAATTATTATTATCATAATCATATATTATTCATTAATTATTATCATAATCACAAACACACTGGCTTGTAACACAAATAGTTTTACTGTTTCTGCAGTTTGTTATTCATTGCTACATGGCTAATGAATCAGAAGTCTTGCACATTCACAGAAAATGGCTTACTTCCACATTGCAAAATTAGGTACAATGGGTAAAATAAGGTATAGGGATGATACACAAGGTCACACACACCAAGACAAAACACTTTCAGTGTAACACATAACTAAATAACATAAAATATAACACACTAATGTGTATTACTGATTACAAAAATAAGAAGAAACAAAGATATGTATAAAATATATTCCTATGTGATCAGTCATGTCCTTTTACTGTTTTTTCACCATAAATTATAGTCATTCATAGTTTTTACTTGGAAAAACCCATACATTTGACAGTATTTTACAGTAAAATTCTAAATGATGTTAAACCATTTACAGTTTTTATTGTATATGGTAAGTGTAGACATGTCTGGTTAATTGAACCGAACCAGTTCTTGATGCTTCTTATATTTATAACCCAAGAATTAGACAGAGATCATGTCAGTTTCATTGTGTTTCACTGTAAGGATTTACCCTTTTCTTCAGTTCCTGGTGTACCCTCAATCACTGCACATTTTGGGATACGAGTCACTGATATACGCTCCAGGCTTTGCTTACAAACACAGTCCTGACTGATTTGGCTGATAAGCCTGGGGGTTTCTGGGCCTAGAGCCTACTGGGAGGAGAGCGAGAGAGAGAGCGCTGAGGAGGGAAAGCACCTGGAAGCCGTCCACCCTGGAGCAGGGTCACTGAGTTTTGTCTGGAGGCTCTCCCTACTGTAGCTCTTAACTGCAGTATCCTGCATACTGAGTCTTCCTGGGCTCATGCAGCCTGTATAAGGTGTCTGATTGGTCATTGAGGTTGGTTTAGAGGTAGAGTTACAATATAGACTGAACAAGCACTCATGTATGGACATTGCCAGCAGCAATACAGTCAAAACACTGAAATTAACTTGAAGAATTTGACAATTATAAATATAAAGTCATAAAATACAGAATTATAAATATAGGATTTTTAATTTTAAAGTGAAAAGTGATGTGTAGCCAAGTAAGGTGACCCATACTCTGAATTTGTGCTCTGCATTTAACCCATCCAAGTGCACAGACACAGTAGTGAACACACACCTGGAGCAGTGGGCAGCCATATTGCTGCCACGCCCGGGGAGCAGTTGGGGGTTCGGTGCCTTGTTCAAGGGTCTCACCTCAGTCGTGGTACTGAGGATTGAAGAGAGCGCTGGTCATTCACTCCCCCCACCTACAATCCCTGCCAGTACCGAGACTCAAACCTGCGACCTTTGGGTTACAAGTCTGATGAATATTATTTAAATACTTACAATTTAATAAAATTTTACAATTTATTTTTTTAATGAAGCAATATTATAATTTAATAAGTAGTAAATCTATAATATAATAAATACATATTATAAATAGTATTTAATATATAATATAATGTATTGTATGGTATTATATTTATGGTTTCATATTGTATTTTATCTAAGGGACTATTTTGCCTAAAAGAATAGTCACTGATTATATAGACAAGAGCATCTACTACCAGTTAACATCTGTAGTGGCTGGTAATGCCATGTAAATAAGGATATCTAGTATTAATTTTTCTAATAATTATTTGTGTGTGTGTGCAGGTGGTGACGTTATGGTATCGTGCTCCTGAGGTGCTGCTTCAGTCCAGCTATGCTACTCCTGTGGATCTGTGGAGTGTCGGCTGCATCTTTGCTGAGATGTTCAGACGGCGGTAAGTTTGCACAGCATCACTGTTTAACTCATTTACTGTAAAACAAAGTAAAATGGAGGATTCAAATGGGTAATGCTCAGTTAAACGAGTCAAGCATGGATAACCTGATTGCTTGCATGTGTCCGGCACACAGGGAGCAATGAGAGTTATGATTTCTATAAAGACGAGTCTATACATAATTATTGCACAGGGTGTGTCTTAAATAATAATCATCTTAACATTAAAATATTTTAATATTTGAAATAAACTTCAAACTATTTCTTTTTTTAATTACTGATCTGACATTAATGACTAAATCTGACATAAAATAATAAAATTAAAACCACTGATCTGACACACAGTTACATAATAAGCCTGGACATTATGACATATTAAAATAATGTATTACATTAGTGTCACATTATGGCATGTGACAACATGTAATTTAAAGACTTCAGTATAATTATTTTTATTATATCATTAAAAATGAGAAAAAAAATTTGAATAATTTTGTATAATTTTTGTGATGTGACTTCAATTCTGCATTTTTGTTTGTCCTGCTCGCGCTGCACGCTGAAGAGATAATCACCGTTGTACCACAATGAAACGCTTTACTGCAGCGCAGCTCAACCAAATGCATTTTATACGAGATAAATAATATATACACGCAGAGCCGATCCTCCCTATACTCAAAATACGCAAGCTGCGTAGGGCCCCCGAAACACCCTTGCTCTCAAAGATGATTTAATTTTAGTTTTCGAATTTGTCCAGCGGTTATGAAAACATGAATGATCATTTCTTTTAATGCGGAGCGATGTCGCCCTTTCTACGTAAAAATCTGTCAAATTATGTCATGTGAATGTCGTACAGTCTTGCTCGAGACTAAAAAACGAGTTGAAAGCGTACCGAGCCGCGGAAGAGACACTGTTTCTCAAGCGCTTTCCGCAATTCGAGACGGAGTGAAACACGGACAAATGCGTTTCATTCATTCGTTCATAACCACTCATACCCCACTCAGAGAGATTGAGATCTGAGATTGGTAGTCGAATCAGGCTCCTCCTATCGAAGCATGGAATCTTCAACTATTCGGGGCCACCCCTACATTTCTGATTACTGCATGTAAAAAGTAATCAGATTACTAATTACTTTACCTTCAAGTTACTTTGAATACATATCAAACCTAAAAAAAATACAATTCAAAGTGAAAATTGTAGTTCTTTTAGTAATTTAATATTGACTGAAAAATATTACAAAGGTATGAAAACTGCAACTTGACTTAAAGATTTAATCCATTTCTAAAACTTAACATTCTTAGTATAAACCTGACTAACAATGAAAAATGTATCTTTAAATGTGCCTATACAGTTTTTTATATACAACATTGCTTGCTGAGTGTAGGGTATATATGTATGCTGGCTTAACTGTGTTTAACTGTGTTAGCATTAAAGACAGAAAAAACCTTAATAAATTGAAAACGGTTCTGATAACATTTGAAAACAGTATTGATGAACATACAGTGCATATTTGAATGCTAAAAATGAATCTTGCTTCTTTGTTTACGGAGGTGATGTGGGCGTTTACAGGTTTGTGCGTCTCACGTGGATGATTACCGTATGAATAGCACGTGCTGCACGTGGGCATGATCACATTACAAATAATAAGCTCAGACGGGAAAGACTGGACCTCGTGTTAGTTTCATACGGATTACTTCGTCAGAGAATATTTGATTTAAAAGTAGACACTTCAAGCTTTCCATAGATATGTTTCTCATGTCTGTGTGTGAGGTATTCGCTGAGTTTTGGTTCATTTTAGTGACGCGTTTCAGAAAGAAGTTTGCGGAGACTGAGACGGCTGAAAGCGCACCCTGTTTGTTTTCTTTTTTACAAAAGCACAATCTTTTGTTGATATTGTGAGTGTACACAAACAAAAGTAGACCCTTCACAGATTCAAATGATGTATTACACTTATATGTATGATCAAAAATGTCGTAGCATTTCAAGTTCTTTTCGCTGTTATCAGGAAAAAATGCAAGTGATCGTACCAGCGCCTTCATCGACCCCGCGCAAAACGTGATTTTAAAAGGCATATAAATATTTTTTTCTTAACACAACATTTGTAACTTAAGTAACGTAATTATATTGACTTTAGTAACTGTAATCAAATTACACAAATTTAAAATGTAATGCGTTACATTACTGCATTACCAGAAAAAGTAATTAGATTACAGTAAACAGTAACACATTATACCCAACTCTGTAACACACACACACACACACAAAACAGAAATGCTAAAAGAGAATCTGGAAAAATGTAGAACCATACTACATCTGACCACATTTTTGCAGGAGGCTGGGGTTATTAAAACAGACATAAAAAAACACAATATCACTGTCACTGTAGTTGTGACAGGCACTACAGACCTGATCCGTTCATCTGTGTGTGGTTTAACGAATTTTTCCAACTGCTTAACTCAACACTGACACATTTATTAAAGCTGCTCAATCCAGTGACAGCAGGATTTAACAGTTCAACGGTTTTTTCTTTGTGGCTTCTACTTCACCAAATTGTAGTGCATTAAAATTATTTTACTTCTTTAAAGCTCTATAAAGAGAAAACTTAAGATTCATTACATTTGCTCAAACAAAATATTGGAACAAGAGTTTTGCAAAAAATTTTTTGTCATCATTTCTTATTTCAGTGAGAATACTGATATAGATGATCAGTAATATCTAGATGGGGTATGTGAAGCAATTTCTCTCATTAAACTGGTCACCAATCTTAAGCATCTTAAGTGCCAGAAAGGCACAAATTTCAAAACAGATAGAACAGAGTGGTGCGTAAAAAAAAGTTCATATGTGTATATGCATTGTTGCCACATTCCATTCCTACCTGTCGATGATGTTGAATTAACCGCCCCTCCTCGTGTTGCTGGGGGGGATTGCGTGGGCCGATGTTTTTCTCTCCTGATGTGCCATAACAAAGTGCATAATCGGATGAAGAGGGAGATTTGTAATGGAAAGCACAGACACACGAGCATGGACACACTTTAAAACACATCCTGTGTTTCACATTGTAACGGGCCCACCTGTCCACCCCTTCCGCCATCCATTGATGGTGTTTGCTTTACAGGAACGGTAGATAAACATTAGCTGACTCAGTGCTTAATACAATAATCCTATAGGAAACTTTCAGATAGGAAAGTTATGATTAGTTGTGTGCACATAACTATGTGTTTAAATAGTGGCTTTGTGTTTGTTAATTACTATAGAAACCCTAAAACAGCAGTTATATTCATTCAAGTGTTTGGTTTCCACTCTCTAAAGCAGTGTGCCATAAAAACGCCACTGTGCTGGGCTTCTGGCGAGCCTCCATGAGTGCCTGAGGGTGGAACAGTAAGGGGGGCTTTCATTGCTGCTACCAGCACACCTTTTCTCCTCCTGCAGGTGATTAAGAATGCTTTTTAAAAGGCCACCTGTTGCAGATTAAAGGGCACCTGGGACCAGGTTTCTCCTCTGATGTCTGAGAAGTGCACCGCTCTGTACGCGCCAACTCCAGTAATGGAGGTAGTCGATTCACCTGAGAGTTATAAAGATGTAGAGCACCTCAGCCAGCAACATATTGTATGGCTTTGTTTAAGATGGAAGTTTAACTGTTAAACGGACAGCGTTTTCCTGGAGAGGATTGTGTAATGTGGGCCTTTGACATGTTTTGCCTCAGTTGTTTTGTTGAGGGTTTTATAAAAGATGTTTACTTGTCTGATGCTCACAATGCACAAAGTTTAGACATACTTCATGCAAGTCTGTATCTGTATCTCATGGAGGATGTAGTGATCAGTCAGTGTGTTTCTGAATGACATAAAGTGCTTTTGACATTCAGCTTTTACAAGGGTTGAGCATATCGAGTGAAGAGTTAATGCGCGACGGCTTTCAGGTCCTTGTTTTCACAACCTAAAGCTGCTCTCACAAAAAGAAGAGATACTGCGTATAAAATGTAAATAACAATAATGAAATGATTATTGTGCTTCATTTTATTTTTTCAACGATGTTCACGTTTCGTCTTGTGTTATAAATTCAACACAACCATTTAATTTTCAGTGAGCATTAGCCCTCCCTAAATGTTTGGTAGTTTTCAGTAGATTGCAGAAGTGTGCTACAGTTTATCTATTTTATTTTTATTTATTATTTTATATTATT